TTCCAGAAAATTAACTCTCTCTCTTTGTTCTGTCTTTTTCTCTGTCTCTGTCTTTTTCTATCTCTGGCAATCTTTCTCCTGAAACCTTACCATTTCTAAATGTGTTAATACTTGATTTGAATTAGCTACTTATCATCATTTAAAAGAGACATGGCTTACTAATTTTTGTAACCAAGGAATCAACACACCAGTATGATACTTACTAGATGTGACATGCTTGATGAATTAATTGACAAAATATTTGGCAAAAAGAAAATCTCCCTTGATGTCATATTATAGAAACTAGAAACTTATGGTATTGAAGATTTTGAGTCACTGTACACTATTTCGAATTAATTTTATTTAGACCTAAAGTCTTGAAGTCAATTATTAATTTATTTGATTGACCATATAAAAATGTCAGTATATCTTGGAAAGAAAATTTTGCACCCAATATTAGTTTATGCTAGTTGCATTTTCTTAAACTGTTTACGTGGAATTTTTTCTATTCCAGACCATTGAAAACATAATGGTTCAATTTTAATATCTTTAAACCAATTACTTTTTAAATTAAAATTTCCTTATATGGTAGCACATCTGCAGGCCAAGATTTTGTCTCTTTCTAACTTAAGTTCCGTTACATGATAACACTACCTTTCATAAAATTTTTATTTCATTTTAAAGAGAAAACTCAGATTTGCTTAGTTTAAAAAATAGACGCATAACTTTCCAAGTGACTTTGATTTTCCTAAAATAACTGCAAGCAGTTTTTATTCAATCAACCAATCAATATATACTTATTGAGCGGCTCTATTTACTGAGACTGTTGGGTAGTGACTATTCTAACCTACTGTGAATAAGCCCCTCATTCAGGAACCAGATACACAAAAACAAGGGCAATACATCTTGCTTCATTGTCATTTACTAGTAATTATCTTTCAGTTTTTAACCAATGTGATTATTCATAATTTAAAGTGTTCAGTTGTTTAAAGATGAGGGTTCCTCCTCATATGTTATGAATGCTATTTCATTGCATAATTGATTTTTCTTATGGCCTGCTCCCTTTCTTCAATATTCTTCTGATGCTTAATTTATGCTTTAGTATTCATATTTATATATATGCAAGTCATATATTATACGTTCAGTAATCCAGTACTCCATATCTTAATCTTTAAGAGAAGAATGTGATTCTAATGCAAGTTGAAGCAGACATTTTTCTTTATCTCCGTAGTTTATAATAATTTCTATTTTCCAAAAATTATAAAATTGTTATGCTATACTTGCTATTGTAGAAATAAATCATTGTGTTTTTCAATAACTCTTTCCTAGAAATGTTTAATGTCTTGCCTTTCATCATTTTTATTTTTGAGATTAAAGTAAGTTTTAAGTTTCATGGAGCAAATATGCCTGGTACTTCGTGTGGTATACCAGTATGCATACATAGATAACTTCTGATCATTTGCCTATGTTCCTCAGCAGTGGGAATCATTGTTCTTTGAATTTCTTCTACTGAAGAAAAGTCATCATCCAAACTTCATTTTCTGATTAGATTTTACATTTGATGTGACTATGTGAATAGATATATTACTGAAGAAGATGATAGCCCAAGGAGGCAGACATTACAGCTTCAAAATTGAAAGGTCATTTAGTGCCAACATAAAGTTCCTTGACATCATTCCTGAAGGTGCACTGCAGAGTTACATGGCAGATTTGGCCAATTTCACATGGAAGGACATAGTTCTTGAGAGTACAGAGATGGCTCAGTGGGCATGAAGGACCTGAATTCAAACTCCACCCACCTGTGCAAAAAGCTGTATGAACACATTTTTCTGTGAACCCTGTATTGTGGAAGGACAGAAGAAGTAAGATTACTGAAACTTGTTGGCCACCAGTTTGACTCTAAGCTTAATGAGAGACCCTGCTTCAAGGAGACAAGAAAGAGGAAGACAGAACAAGATGCCTGCAGTATTCTTCTGTCTATTGCAAGTGTGCACCCACGCACATGTGCACGCAGACTTATGTCTATTGCATTAGCATATAGACATGTGAACACACGCCCCAAAAAAATAATGAATAAAGAAACAAAGGACCAGGTCCTTAATACTCTCCCCATTTCATATTATCAAGGAAAAATATTTTCAAGAACCACTTTTAAATCTCTCCTTTTCAAGTTGTGTATCTTTATTTTTCTCTGGAAACAACTAGAAAGGCCCCATCTTCTGTTGAAGACCTTTGCTGCTCTTCTGCCTCAGTAGAGTGTGTATGTTCTCTTGCTCATCAATGAGCAGGCTTTTTATCATCTTCTGTCTTGGTTTTTTTTTCCTCACCTGAAGAATAAGAAGAAGATAAGATAAAGGGAATGCCTGCAGCTCCCCGACTATGCTCTGTTGACTCCTGTAAAAATAACTGTTTCCAGGTCAATACACCTCTGCTTTCCCTCCATAAGACAGTAGGAGCTGTAAACAACAGTGCAGAGGTATGGTGATGCCCACATGACCCAGTTTCCTGTATGAAATGCATTCTGCAGAGTTCTAACTTTGGCTACTCATTAAGCCAACTCATGGTTAACACCCATATGGTCTGAAAACACAAACCACGAGTAATAAGAGCCATCCCATAATGGTACTATACTCATACCTTCAGTGTGTGTGTGTGTGTGTGTGTGTGTGTGTGTGTGTGTGTGTGTGTGTGGTATGTAAGCCTTCCAGTGGGTGTGTGCATCTGCCTATAGGGACCAGACATACACATTAGGATGTCTTCCTCAATTGCTCTAAGTCGGGGCTTCTACTGAAACAGGCACACACTGGTTGGCCTAGTGAATTTCAGAGATCTGGTCTCTACTTCCTTCCCCTAACTTCCCCAGTGTTCCCAGGACTGGCCTTCTGTGCTGGGATTACAAAAATGCACTACCACACCCAAGCATAATCGCATCTTCACTTTAGGTGTGACTGAATTTCCTATGTATCTGCACTGTGGACATTTCCCACATAGCAGCATCTATAGTTCTATGGACGTGCTCTCGCCCTGGAGATGTGGTGCAGAAACCTCTCAGAATCACAACTCTTACCTCCACATTAAAGGAGGGGTGACCGGTACCCTTCAAGGTTGCCCAGAAGCAATCAACACTAAAACATGTAACATGTGAAGAAATGTAAGTAACTGTGCACAATTAATAGCCTGCAAAGCATAGACATGTGTGTGGAACCATGTTTTAGAAATAACTCCTGATGTGAAAATTAAATTAGTTTATCTGTAAAATGAAAAGGTGGTGTTTTCATTTCATTGTAACTTAACCCTCCTTAGACGTAGATGAAGCATCAAACACTGAAGCTTAGCATGTGATTGAGATAACCTTGGGTATTAACAAACCTGCAGCTTTCAAACCAATTCATCCATTCAAAACACTTCTCGGGATTTCTAACATAGTTCTACAAAGGGAAGACAATTCGTGGTTGTTCTAAGTATTTAGTGTTCTGTGTGGCAGGTAAATGAATGAAATGGATTATGAAAACTATAAAAATGTCACAGAGTTAAATGCTTAGTCTACTGCAAGCAAGTTTAATCACGATTTGTTCCCTGGATGGTGAAGACTCCCAGAGTTCATGAACACAGGGGAACACACATGTCCCAATCAACTTATTAAAAAACAATTACTGATTGCCTGCAAGAAATGCCAGTGAAGTTCGTCTCTGAGAGCACTAACTGGAAGCCGAAAAGTCACCCTGAGGGGGTAGAGTTTCACTGGGTGCCAGCAGGAAGCCAAGACACAAAGCCCAGCTCAGATATCTCTTTGCCCTCATTACCCACCTCCTCATTATTTGACTGTTGTTGAGTGTCAGGAACTCTTTATGTATTAGAGATACTAATCCTAGGAGAAGTCTAAAGCAACCAAATTTGCAAAATCAGAAAGTACAAGGGTATGTAATAGGGACCAGGAGGAAAGAAGTGTGTGTGGGGGGGTGTTGTCTGATGGATGGAGAGTTTCTGTTTCTTATCATGAAAAAGTTCTAGGGATCCGTTTTATAGTGTAAATACAGGTAACATCACTGAGCTCCACATTGAAAGCACATAAATGGAAAATTTCAGTGTATGTTTTTTCTGCAGTTTTTAAATGATGAAAAGCAGGAGTGTTGTGCGAGAAAAATAAACTAGGAATAAAAAGGGAACTGTAGTCCTAGGAGCAGTGCTATAACAGGGTTTCTTCAGTGCACCAAATTTCAGCGCCTTTATCTCCAGGCAGCACAGAGGCAAACAGAGAGGACAACGTCCTAATGGACCGCACAGGGCAGTTTGGCTAGTCAGTGCTCAAGAAGAAAGTTTGTTTTCTTTCTCTCTTTCTTTTCCCCTTTGCTTTTATTAATTTATATAAACTTTGAAGGCAAATTAAGCAATCACGGATTCACTTGCTTTTATTTTGCCCTAATTTGGTCAAAATAATGGTTAGCATAATATTTGTAACTACTTTTTAAGCCTCAATATAGTATAATCGTAATGATTTTTTTAATTACCTTAATCTTGTTCCTTCCAAAATGCATCACAAGTTGCCAGCTCCAGCTTGTTCGAGTTTGACAGGCATGGCCTGAGAGCTACTGGGACTCAGAGAGTCCCAAAGACAACTTCACACAAACTCGCTCCTGAAGTCCCTCAATGTGCATGCTGTACTTCAAAGCTCTTGGCTGTGCTGCTCCTGAACATTGGAGCAAGCAAACACACCTCTGCTCGAGCCCTAGCCATCCTGAAGACTTCGCAGTCAGTGCTTTGAGATAACCTTTTGACTTGTTCTTCAGGACTGTGGGGCAAAGCCCTAGAGACAGAAGGAACCGGGCTAAGAGCAAAGGTGCGTTTGGAAAGGACAAGGCAAGGGCTTCTGTCTCTGCGGAGTGTGAAGTCACTTAAGCCATGGGATACACCTGGGGCCGGGGGTGGGGGGACACTGGGGGACTCAGGCTGAGCAGGAGCCCGCCAGGCTAGAGGGGAGGGAGATAAAAGGCGGGAGGCGGAGCTGCAGGGCGGCGGGGGCGCGGCTGGCAGCGGCGGGAGCCGGCTGGCTCGTAGGAGGCGCCGCAGCCCCAGCCCGCCCGGCTCAGTGATCTGCGGGGCCCCGCTCTGCCCTGCTCCCCTGTGCTCCGTTCCGCACCGAGGGGCCGCCGCGTGGAGAGGTCCCGGAGAGTTTGCCCCGGAGCGCGGGCAAGTTTCTTCCTCAGTGCGCTCAGCTGGAGCTGTACCTGCAGGGCGCCTGGGACTGATGCCAAGGTAACAGGACTGGGCTAGGGGATGCGCTGTACCTGGGGTCTGGTGCCTCTGGGCACCGCGGTGGGCGCGGCTCTGGGTGGGCGAGATGCTCGTGGTACCTTTGTGGCTTTATTACCCCTGGGACTGAGGGTGGCATCTTGGGGCATTGCAGACCACTTCAATCCACTTTGTTGGACATGCCAGGGGAGGGGAGAGGAAGACTAGTGCATGCACTCAGGGGTAACTTAGTAGCTACCTGGACTGGACTCCTGCCCCGGCCCCTGAGCTCCCGGAGGGGCACCGCGAACTCCAGGGTTTTGGTGACACACCCGCGCGGGGACGGGTAGAGCTTGGAAACAGACCCGAGGAAAGAGTGTTGAGTTTCCCAGCACCGGTCTGTCCAGTCCTCTGGCTTGTTTGGTTGGAAGATGAGCGTCCCTGCCCTGGTGCCTCCTTTGCACTGGCCCCAAACTCCGAGTGACACTGCAGAGACTGCGGGCTGGTGGGAAGAAAGTTTCCAAGCCTGGGCTGGATGGTGGCTGAGCAGAGGACTGGAAAGGGCAGAGGGAGCCTCAGGTGTGAAGGAGGTGAGGGAGGGAGAGTACAGTGTTATCACTGTTGTGGAAGGGCTTTCCGCGCCTCAGCTCTTCTGCCTGGTTTGAACATCCTGCCTGCCAGCATGTTTCTATAGAGAGTGTAAACGGTAGTTAAGGTAGTTATGTTTGATAGCCTGTCAGGGATTACTTCCAACTAAGTTCTGGAGTGTGGAGACTACAGCTGTGGCCCCACTCCCTCATGTCCCAGTCGGCCACCCCCATCCTCCCACAGACAAATTGTGCCTGAATCAGTCCCAAGGTTAGGAATGAAACATATAGTATGTTTCTGTAAGTGACCCCCCTACCCCGTAGTGTTCCAAACCAAAACATTATGGGAGTACATTGTGGGTGTTTAATGGGAAATTATCCTTTTCGGGGGGGGGGTTGTTCTTTGGTTTTTGTTTTTGTTTGTTTGCTTTTCCTTTCTGGTTATTAAGATAGTGTGATTAATGAGTATCTATTTTTCTTCTTTAACCCCAAACATTACATTATTTTAGCTGTATGTAATTTTATTTTTATTACCCCTGTTCCTGCTGGCTTAAAGAACACGGACTTCTTGTAGACTCCTGCAAAACACAGTGTGACCATATTTAATATTTATCTGTCTCCCTGATTCAATGGTCCTGCCACCTGCCACTTCCCCAGTGTAATCGTAACACCATATGCCTGTCTACCAAATTGAGGATAAGAAGAATATCATTTTTTTCCATGGATAACAGTACCCAACTATCAGATTTTACTGTTGTCTATTAGATGAAGAGCTCCGGTCAAGATAAATCCATTTAAGACATGAAAAATGTGTAAGTCTTCCCAAAGCTTCAAGCAAACTACCGGACACTTGGAGTTAGTGACTGAAGGAAAAATTAAACTACCATCAAATGGGAAACATTTGATTGAATACAGTCAATAAGAAACTGCACCTATCAAACATCCACAAAAAAGTGAGAAGAATTTTTCCTTAACTCATTTGCTTTTTATCATCTCCATGGGGATGGTAACTTCCTTCAGAGAATGAGTCCCTTGCATATAGATTTGGTATTTACCAACTGAACATCAGATTGTGTGATATAGGGGCTTGGTGACAGTCCAAAAATGAGTATTTTAAATCATCCCCAACCATCTGTTGTCTCCCCCTCCCTTACAGCGCAATAGTTTACTCTCGTGGGTATGCAGGCATGCTTACTCATCTCACACCTTTGCAGGAGCATCCCAGAGCTAGATGACATTGGTGTCAAGTTTGACCCAAGCTCTCAGGCTGCTACTCTTTTCCAGTGAGCCTTTGATTTCAACCAAGGAGGAAATCAAAAGTCTTGAGTCATCTGGCAAGACTAGCATACACTCCAGGAGAATCTAACTGTTAGTACTCCCATCTTTTGCCACTAGAGTGGAGCTGGACATTAATGGAGTTACAAGATCCTCCTGGTAATATGAATTCCTCTGTGGTTCCAATGGGCATCATTTGATACTCTGAAGGCATAAGTGGAACATGTCTTGGTCTTTAAAAATGAATGTGATTGCCTCCTGTGTATACCATCTTCCTGGAGAAAAATTACACAACAGAAAGCCAATATAATATTCCAGACCTGTAACTAAACAGACATAAGGAAGGAGGAATGGCTCACTGCGGGAAGGAGCTTGCTGCCAAGCTTCATGATCTGAGGCTGTTTACCAGGATCTACATGGCAGGAGAGAGCAGACTCCAATCACTTTGCCCAGCCCGGCCACTTTGCACACATTACACACACTCATACCCCATTTCACCTACCTTTCTGTTCCTGTGATAAAGCATCATGACCAAAACAGCTCATAAAAGAAAGCTTTTAATTGAGTTTCATAAGGTTGGAGTCCATGGAGCAGAGAGCTGGCAGTAAAAACAGCTGAGAGCTCACATCTTGATCCAGAAGCAGGAGGCAAAGGGCTTCCTGGGAATGGATCCAGCCTTTCAAAACCTCAAGGTTCACCCTGAGCAATACACTTTCCCATACATTCTAATCCTTCCCAAACTGTTCCACCAACTGAGACTAAGTATTTAAACAAACACAACGAGCCTACGTTACCTTTCTTATTCAATCCACAACATCCACAACACACACAGAGAGACACACACCCCTACACACACACACACACACACACACACGCATGCACACACAGACACAGGGACAGACACAAACACAGTCACACACACATGCACAATAAATATATCTAAATAATGAATAGTACTTCTCCCACAAATATTACCATGCATGAATAACATACACTAGCTTACAAAAGATAGATGATTTACGGACATAGTCATTTTCATTTTTGTCTTGGTTCTGCATGAGTCAGCATGCATGCAATCGACAAATGAACCAACAGCCCCTGTTTTTCATGTGTTACCATTTGAGAGGGATTTAAGGTTTTCGAATCCCTTCCCATCTAATCCCCACTTGGAGCAAGTTTTCTATGACTCAGATATTTGAAAGGGTTTGTGCATGTGCTCGTGTGTGCGCAGGTGTACCTTGTGTGTGAGAGTACGTGTGCATAAGCTCGTGTGTGTGAGAGTACGTGTGCATGCACATGGAAACTAGAGAACAATCTTTGAGCTTGTTCTCTCCTGAGGTTCCATCCATCCACTGTGGTTTTTTTTCTTTTTAGTACTAGGTCTCTCTGTGGCTCAGGCTTTCTGTTAGGCTTGACTGACATGACGGTGGGCCCATATCTGTCTGTCTACACCCTCTTACCTGAGAATACAGGGTCGCACCACTGTGGACTCCTTTTTGCACAGAATCAAGTTTCAGTGTAAGTCATCTCATCAGCCCCATGTTTATAAGTCATTATAAAATAAAAATTTCCAATTCAAAGCCATTTGGGGTACGTGTGTGTGTGTGTATGCGTGCGTGCGTGCGTGCATGCGTGTGTGTGTGTGTGTGTGTGTGTGTGTGTGTGTGTGTGTGTGTGTGTGGCTGTGGCTGTGGCTGTGTCTATGCTCATACACTTCAGTAGTTGCCCTATCCCTCCAAACCTTTGAAACTATTTATCACTCAAAATTAAGCCCTCATGGTAGACAGAATGTTAGGAATATTGCTTAACTCAGATCTGGGTGCAGAACCCCAAATTACTTTTGTGATTTTTAGGAAAAGGATAATGGTGATTTTGCTCAAATTGTATATATTTGATACCAAAGGAATAATGAAGACCCAAGATAGAACTCCTTGTTCCTTTATCACTATGAACAAGGTCCTTGTTCCTGTATCACTATGAACTGTGCTTATTTTGAAGATTTTAAGGTTTTAACTTAAAAGGAGCAGTGTACTGAAGAGAATAAACTATAGATAATTCTGAACATAAAGTTACCCTTAAAATTATGACCTAATTTAAATCTTTGTTTCTTACATAGGAATGTGTTACCTATTATTTTTGGTGTACTAAAAATGAATTATTGAGGGGAAGCTGTTTAACCATGTGTAGTGGGTACTCTGAATTATTCATTATAATGAGAGGAATACAGGAAAAGATAATCTAAAATCATGGCTATTTAAAAAGTCATTTGTGTTTGTCTTTAGAATATGTTATGTGTTTGGTTTGAAAACCATTTCCATTGTTATTGTGGGCAAGTTTCCTTTCTAATTTTGTTTTTGTTTAGGTTAATTTTTAAAATGAGCTTACATGCCTCAAACACCAAAAGCAGTTTCTAAGGAGGTTGGGTAGGTGGGCATCTTGCCCAGAAACAAGCTGGGTGACAGAAATAAGCAAATCTGGAACAAAAACTTTCCAGTGAATTATGTATAATTCACAGCAAGATAATCAAGATTGGATGTATGTCATTTAATGGGCATGTTAAGTATTGGATATGTTCCTGGAAAAAATAGAGGAGTTTTTTAATTTATTTTTTGATGGTGGTGGTGCTGGTGTTTGTTTTGGTGTGTGTGTGTGTGTGTGTGTGTGTGTGTGTATTGTGTGTATTATATGCATATGTGCATATGTGTGTGAGGAGGAATACATAGAGACCTTTCCTGATCCCTACCTTCTTTTTTGAGACAATCACTGAACCTGGAGCTCACTGACCAGCTCTGCTATTGGTCAGTGAGCTCCAGGGGACTGCCTGTCTTCACTTCCCAAATCTGGGACTACAGGCAGGAACTTCCACTCCCAGTTTTTCACTTGAGTTCTGGGGAGTCTTAGGTACTCAGTGCTTGCACCCCAAGCAGTATAGCCACCAAACTACCTCCTCAGCCCCCAGCTAAGAGTGATTTAATAGAAATTTGAGACCTTTAAGTCTCACTTCACATCTAGCAGAGGCTAGTAATCTTTCAAAAAAATCATAAAGAGTGTTTATGGAAGCCAAGTAGAAACATTAATTTATAGGCCTCACAAAGTTGAATTTTCAAGTGTTTTCCTAAATTCCATACCTGTGTAAGGTGTTGAGTCACTCCCCAAGTCCTG